CTCAGCTTTGTAAGTAAACAGATTCACTGTCACCCCTTCACTGGATCAAATAGTGTGTCTTTATATTAACTTGCTGCTTCCTATCCCTCCATTATTCTCTCCCTCCTCCACTCCAAAGATTGCAGTTGTCAGAGCCCTTGGTTGTACCTGACACAGCAGTGACAGAGCAGCAAACTGAATCACAGTGGCTGACAGTAAATCATGCCAGTGACTTTCTCAATTTTAATTAAAGAAAGGAAAATGTGGTTGGTATTGACAGGTATGTGTTGTAAGACACCATTAATTCAACCAGCATAAACTCCAGCCTTGCTGCACTGACACCAATTTAACTGATAATGCTTTAGACCTATACAGTGGGGCAAAAAAGTATCTAGTCAGCCACCAATTGTGCAAGTTCTCCCACTTAAAAAGATGAGAGAGGCCTGTAATAAGCAAATTTCTAAAGGTATATGCCATAATTATGGTGATAGACTGTTCATATTTAAATCAGCGCATAAACTAATCCGCAGCTCCCTTCACAAAGTTTCCTGGACTGATACTCACAAGATACTGTGAGCACACACAATACAAGGTCAGCAAGAGTAGTGTGAGGAAAATTTTGCTGATACAGACAAAATGTGTAATGAATTACACGCAGTGCATGTTCAACAAATTTTTTGACATGACAAATAAGGGTTATTTAATTAATTTATTTATATGACTATACAAGGCCAAGTATGTTACACACAAGGAATTTGTTTCCAGTACAGAACCAATGGCAGCCATCTGCAGCGCCACCTCAACCAGCGGCTCTAACCATCGGGGGCAACTGGGGGGTTCAGTGTCTTGCCCAAGAACACTTCGACTGCCGGCACTGAGATTCGAACCTCCAACTTTCTGGTTGGGAGATGACTGCTCTATCCACTGCACCACTGTCACCTCCCCAAAACCATGATGGCTGAAGATAAGTGGTTCTTCTTCAGTGTCCTCAAGAAGAAGAGGCACTGGTGAGCCTTCTTAATCATGCTGCGGGTGTTGGTGGTCCAGGACAGATCCTCTGAGATGTGGGTCCCCAGGAATTTGAAGCTGGAGACACGTTCAACAACCAATCCATTAATATGGATAGGGTTGTGTGTGCCTCCTTTCTCCCTCCTGTAGTCCACCTTGGTCTTGTTGGCGTTAAGGAGCAGGTTATTGTCAGCACACCACACAGCCAGGTGCTATACCTCCTTCCTGTAGCCTGACTCATTATTGTTGCTGATGAGGCTGATCACTGTAGGGTCGTCTACAAACTTGATGATTGTGTTGGAGCCATGCACAGGCCTGCAGTCGTGGGTGAAAAGGGAGTAGGGGAATGGGCTCAGTGCACAGCCCTGTGGTATGTTGGTGTTGAGAATAATAATGGAGGAGCAGGTGTTGTCTGACCTAACATGCTGAGGCCTGTTGGTCAGAAAGTCCATGATCCAGTTGCAGAGGGAGATGCTGATGCCCAGGTCACCAAGTTTGATGGTTAACTTGAAGGGGATGACTGTTAAATGCTGAGCTGAAGTCCATAAACAGCATTCTTGCATAAATGTTGTTGTTGTTCAGGTGTCAGAGTACAGTTTGCAGTGCTATGGAGACTGCATCCTCTGTTGCATCCTCCCGTGCTCCTTTTCCTGCAGTAGGCAGTAGGCAAATAGGTCATCAAGTGTGCCAGGACCAGGCGCTTGAAGCATTTCATGACGATGGGTGTGAGTGTTACAGGGATGTCAGGGTGGAATGTTTCAGCACTTGCACAATAGAGGTGGTTTTGAAGCATGTCGGCACAACTGCTTGGGTGAGGGACAGGTTAAAAATGTCTGTAAAGATGCCAGTAAGCTGTCCTGCACATGCCTGGAGCACACGTCCAGAAATGCCATCAGAGCCAGCAGCATTGCATACGTTAATCTGGCTCAAAGCAGCATACATGTCAGTGGAGGTGAGTGTGAGTGGCTGGTGGTCTGCGGAGGTTCTGGACTTGATAGCTGTCTCCTTGTTATCACAGTCGAAGTGAGAATAGAAGCCATTTAGCTCGTTGATGAAGGAAACATCTGTGGTTGTTGGGGTGGAGTTGCCGGGCTTGTAGTCACTGATGACCTGGATGCCCTTCCACATACAGTATACAAACAAGACTGTACTCAAACAAATGGAGGACATTGACATTAATAAGAACACAAGAACCAAATTAACCCTCTGGCGCATAGTGGTCACTGCAGTGGACAACTATTCAAAAGTCATTTTCTCTTAAATGCACTGGTTTCAATGGTGGAACTGCATATCAGTCACTAGAGTGCTCTCTACTGCACCACTCCATTGAGGTTTATTCAGTGGTTAGTTGTTGTAACTGCAAGTGAATTTCCTTTGAATCCAAGATGACTGATAGTAAGCCACACTTGTTGACTACTGCTGGAATATCCTGAGACCTTCTATTCCAGACGAATCCTAGAGGTAAAAAAAAATATGATATACAGTAACATCTAAATAATAATATCATTATTTTATTTTTGAAAAATTTGTTTCCAATAAGTAGTAAATTACAATTAACCATGTGTTCAATGAAGTGGACATCATGCATCATCAAGTATATTTCTGACTCAAGTCATGTAATTGCTTCACTTTTTCTTGTGACTGTTTTGGTTGTAAATCAGTACATTTTTGCTGTATTTTATAGGGTATTAATTTAAAAATGGATAGTCTTGTGCAGATTAGTTGTAGTCCACATGGCCTTGTCCTGTGCCGGCCAGTCCCCTGAAGATGGGGCCAAGAGATGGGCCAAGAAGGAAAAGACGATGTTTAGGGTCTGAAGACCCTTTTCTGTGGCCCTTTACAATAAACACATGGGTGGGGTCGATCTCATTGACCAATGTGTGGCAATGTATCCCCACAGACGTAGGAAAAAGCGGTGGTACATCCGAGTGTTTTTTTCATTTTTGGATGTGACCGTGGTAAATGCCTGGCGCCTCTACCTGATGTCTGGATTAGAAAAGATGAATCTCCTCCTCTTCAAAGCTTCTGTAGCTCGTACACTGATAAATGCTGGCTCCCTCCAACAAAGCAGAAGAGGAAAACCTAGTGCAACCCCACCTCCAATGACGTGCAGAGCAGTCACTAAAGTACCCCATGAGGTCAGGTTTGGCACAGGAAATCACTGGCCCAAACTCACCGAGGTGAAAAATGCAAACAGATGCCACAATGCTGCATGCAGTCGAAAGACCAAATACATCTGCATGCAGTGATGTGTGCCACTGTGCCCTGGAGGCTTTGTCAATTTTCATACAGCCTATGTTTGATGAACTGACATGCAGAGCATATTACAGAAGTGCTCAGAGATGCAAATATGTCTGAAAACTGCTGAAAACCTATTAATACTAGTATAGTGACATGGTAATACCAGTCCTGCATCCATAAAGAAGTATGGAGACTCAGATGTTCTTCTTGTTGGAGATATTTGAAGATTTGGAGATATGAAACCTAGCCTTAGCTTTAGGTATATTCATTTTTACATTAAGTTCATACTGTTTTATGTTGAGTGATCAGGCACATGTAGTCCACTGGAGTGGACATGTGTGTAACTCTCTGAAAAAAATCACATTTTTGAAAAAAAGTGAATATTTGTTTTTTTTCATGCCCTAATAAGAATAGAAACACTAAAGAATTTTTTTTGACTCAGGCTTTCATAATTCATGCATCAGAGGGTTAAAGAGCTCAATAAAAAGAAATTCCTCAGAGACGAAAGAGACTATAAAAATGGATACATTTATCCTTGGTTCTGTATTTTATCTTTGCATTAATGTTGCTCATAATACTGCACATGTTGCCAGGCTTTTTGTTTTCCAGTTTATTTTTGCTATGTTTGTGCCCCCTGACAGTGGGTGAAGTTGCTCCAGTGACTTCTGCTGTATCTGAGCTCTTTGTGACACCAGACAAACTAAATAAATACCTCAGGCACAGTAAAGTGCAGTGTGATCTGCTGTCAGTCACCAGAATTTGACATCCCCATGTGGATTCATATAGCTCTGGTGGTGCACGATGACAATGCTGGTTTCCAATCAATTACCTCCTGTCAATCTGTTATAACTTTATGTACAACTTTTATTTAATTTGCAAAAGACAATGTGAACCGCAACAGATCTTAAAGGTAAATGTGTATCATATGCCTCAACCAAATGAAGCAAACTACAGATGTGAAATAATTTTGTCATAGATTATGTACAGGCAGCTACTGTTTATCCAACACTGATACTGTTTTATTGTTTCATATTATATTATTATTATTATGGGCACATTCTGGGAAATACATGAAGTCACATTTACTCTATTGTAAGTGCCATTATTATTTTCATTGGCCTGTGGATGCAAACAGAAAATAAGCCACCCGACTCCCCAGCAGTTACTCATATGGTATTTGATTAAACTGACTCATGGATGATTAGTTAAAGATCCCTTCCAGACATGTAATCATTGGTGCCTCTTGAATGGTTTTTTGCTAACTTCAGTTACTGTGCAAGAATGATTAAGATTGTCTTCTTCTTTTCTTTATTTGAAAAATCACAAATGTAGAGTACAGTATAAATATGCAAATGTTTTCATTTCAGAAGTTTAAATACTGGGGACAAAGTGCCTCCTATTTCACTATAAAGTGCACTCTCAATGTATGTGCACTAGAAGCTTCAAGTTTCCACATCACACTTGTGTAAATAGCATACCTGACCATGATTGGGTTAAACTTATATCACCTACGTATGTACATAGTATCTCCAGCTGGGATTTAAAGTAAGCACAGAAGAACTGCCCGTTTAGCACACCTTCTGGTGGCAAATTCTGCACATGCATCCTTCTGCACAGGAACTTACTGTATGGTAGCTCAGGTATTTGCATTGCACTCACCAAGTATGTTCTCTTACTGTATGTATCGATGATAATCAACAGTGTTAAAATAAGAAAAACTTAATTTAAACACCTTCTGTAATATAAGTCATAATTCTTCTGTTTTTATCCAGGTCCAGTAGCTGTAATCAGTGGTGAGGAAGACTCTGCCAGCCCTCTTCATCATGTTAACCATGGGATTATTACCCCCTGCACTCTGGATGCGGGTACTGATGCAGTTGTCATAGGGATGACTCGTATTCCCGTGATGGATAATCCCCAGTACTTCAGACATGGACACAACTGCAACAAGCCAACCACCCGTGAGTACCCTTATAGTTTCTTATTGTCACCACTTTTTTATCACTGTACCATGTTCCCCATACAGTATTTACTGGTGGCATTATTTGATCTCCATTTTGTGGAGCTATAAAAGGGACCCTTGAATCACTGTTGTTCAAGCACAAGGCTAAGTATACTGAAAAGGCATTTAAGAAACACAAACTCCCACAGAATATAAAGAAAAATGCAACATCTGCTCAGACAGCCAGGTACTGAGCATTATGTCTTTACGAGGCTACCAGCAACTATTGCATCTTCAGAGTAATTTGCTGCTGGGCCCCTCAGGACAATAGTATAATTTAGAGTCATCTACAGCATCAGTGTGATCATATGGTGTTAGCAACTGGTGGCACACTTCCAGATGCATCATACAGAATCTGTTTAGACAAAAGCAGACTTCTGTATACCAGCTACTGAGCTACTGGTGTTCACACAGCCACCCCCAGCCCAATTCACTCACTCTCCCTTGGGACTCATGTTCCAGGCTGGGGAAAGACAAGCGCACTTTAAGGCCTAATTACTTACAATTACATCAACTGCTCAAGAGAATCAGCAGAAAACAACTGTGTCAGCAGCCAGTTGCAACCTGGTGCCTGCTTCTTTACCTTCCAGACAGTCAGACCTACTGGGTTTTAGTCAGGGAAACTCTCCTTCTGTCTGAATGGCAGCACTTTCAATCACTTCTGATTTTGGTCCTGTTCAGCTTCAATTTACATTGCTTACATCTTGGCACACTCTCAAGATGGCCGTTGATCAGGCTAGCAGAAACTGACTTCTGAGTTGGAGCCACTGAGAAAGAAGGAAATTCCATTTAGAGGTGATAAATAAATGACGCGTCTAATGTATTATGAATTGCATGAATTGTTAATGGCTAGCCAGTGACTGATTTATAATATGCCATGCCTGATTGCAAGCTAATAAATAAATGACAGCAGGCACAAATGAAACTTTCTCCTGATTACTGATTACATGGAATTGAAAGTCAGACTATGCACCTGCATGATGGCAGATCTGATGGCTTTACCCCAAATGTTCGCTCTCTCTCTCAGAATACAGCATCTATTGTCTTTTTTTATTTAATTCTATGCTCATGCATGAAAAAGGAAACTGTAGGAAATGAACCCTGATTTCATCACAAGGTTATAATGGACACTTCTTTTTGCCATGGGCTGGAAAAACAAAATGGCTCTGAACGGCTTCTGCCTCTGCAGATCATTCTCTGCTTATGAATGTATTCTTTCTCCTCAGGTCACAGACAGGGAAAGGAAACATCTCTGTGTATCCAGGTGTATACCTACAGTATGTGTGTAGGTGTGTGACAGTGAAAATGAAAATATGCACAGATGTGGATGTGTGGTTTGTAGGTAGAATAACTTTGCCAGTATATCACCTCACTGTCTTCTATCTCTTCTATGGTTTGATAAGTGTCTTCATTCAGGAGTCCCTTGTGTGACCCTGGGTCCCCTTGGGTCCCCATTGCTCAGCCTGACTGTTCTGCAGCTTTATGTGTCAACCAAAGTGCTTCATTCAGCTCAGATATTCAGCTGCTTTATTGATGCTCAGCCACCAATCCATAATGTATTCATGTAATGTATTCATTTACTTGAAAGCTTCTTATCCAGGAGAATAGCTTGCAGGCACAAACAGTCCTGCACACACATACACACACACATACACACACACAAACACCTCTCCTAAGTTTGGTCTAACAAGAGACACACCAGCACATAGGCATACATAAATTTAAACACAACCACACTTCTGCTTACCTGTGTCCATCAGGAGTTCGCAAATGTGATGGTCAGTCCGAGTCAGTTACCTCTACCAGTCATCTTGGTAATTTATGTTTCTTTCTGTCTAGCTGTGTTCTTTCTAAACTCATCTTGAATACTAACAGTGAGGAGGAGGAACAGTCTGCTGCTGCTGCTGTCTGCCATGCTGGCCTCTGCAAAAACAACTACATATACAGTATATCCATCCATTTTCTATACCGCTTAGTCTCAAATGGGGTCACGGGGGGCTGGAGCCAATCCCAGCCGGCTGCGGGTGAGAGGTGGGGTACACCCTGGATAGGTCGCCAGTCCATCGCAGGGCTAACATGCAGACTAACAACCACTCACACACACAAACACTCCTACAGGCAATTTAGAGACGCCAATCAACCTATGCTGCATGTCTTTGGACAGTGGAAGGAAGCTGGAGCACCCGGAGAGAACCCACGCAAGCACGGGGAGAACATGCAAACTCCCCGTTGGCCGAGGCTTGAACCCGGAACCGTCTCGCTGTGAGGCAACAGTGCAAACCACTGCGCCCCTTTTATTTATTTATATATATACAGTGGTGTGAAAAAGTGTTTGCCCCCTTACTGATTTCTTATCTTTTTGCATGTTTGTCACACTGTAACGTTTCAGATCGTCAAACAAATTTATATATTAGTCAAAGATAACACAAGTAAACACATCATGCAGTTTTTAAATGAAGGTTTTTATTATTAAGGGAAAACAAAATCCAAAACTATATAGCCCTGTGTGAATAAGTGTTTGCCCCCTAAACCTAATAACTGGTTGGGCCACCCTTAGCAGCAACAACTGCAATCAAGCGTTTTCGATAACTTGCCATGAGTCTTCCACAGCGCTGTGGAGGAATTTTGGCCCACTCATCTTTGCAGAATTGTTGTAAGTCAGCCACATTGGAAGGTTTTCGGGCATGAACTGCCTTTTTAAGGTCATGCCACAGCATCTCAATTGGATTCAGGTCAGGACTTTGACTAGGCCACTCCAAAGTCTTCATTTTGTTTTTCTTCAGCCATTCAGAAGTGGACTTGCTGGTGTGCTTTGGATCATTGTCCTGCTGCAGAACCCAAGTTCGCTTCAGCTTGAGGTCACAAACGGATGGCCGGACATTCTCCTGTACGTTGGTATACCTCAGTCGCTGCTTAGAAAACTCCAGCTGGTCCAAAATGCAGTAGCTCGGCTTCTGTCCAACACTCCCAGGCTTGCCCACATTACTCCGGTTCTCCGCACTTTACACTGGCTGCCTGACATTTTAGGATCGTGTTTAAGACTCTTACTTGTGTTTAAAGCCTTACATGGCCTTGCCCCACCTTACTTGGCAGATCTTTTATTTGTTTATGTCCCGTGCAGAGCCTTGCGCTCCTCGGAAAAATTATACCTAGTGGTCCCAATCCAAAAATTGGGGGGACCGCGCATTTGCCGTTTATGGCCCTCGACTGTGGAACTCACTACCGCTAGAGATTCGAGCTACAACCGAGCTAATGGTTTTTAAATCCAGATTAAAAATGTATCTTTTTAAACAAGCTTCCGAGCTTTAATTTGTTTTATTTGCCGTTGAATGGCATTGTGCACATGTTTTATATTTTATGATTATTGGGTTATGGTTTAGTAGGGCTCTGTCAGTTTTAGTATTGCCTTAGTGTATAGTTATCCTTATTTTGTGCAGCATTTTGGGCTCCCCAAGTTGTAAAGTGCTATATAAATTATGTTTATTATTATTATTATTATTATTATTTAATATATCAAACACCAAGTATCGATTTACACAGAACTCAATTGCAAGGCTGTACAAGTCATTGAAAGTAGTTTGCTGATCAATCTGGTAGTTTCCTAGGCTAGAAAACAGTGGATCTGAATCACCTGCTTGGAATAGTTTGAATCTATTGTACATGATTCATGTGACCCTCAGACTATTTCTTCTATCTCATGGTCAACAGTTATAAGACTGAGTTGAGTGCTCTCAGTGACGAATCAGGTTTAAGTTGAGCTGGGAGCTTAGATCCCCCACTCTCAATTCAACCTTAGGCATAAATAGAAAAAAGGGTTTTCTATGTTTTTACTTTCCCATCTTTCTGTCCCACAGTCCATAGACACAAAAGTGCAAATACAAGTCCAAAATCTGAGTTACACACTGATATATTAAATAAAATTTGTTGGTAAATTTTTGGAATTTGACAATTTTCTATTTTTCTTTTTGTATATACAAACTGAAACTGGCAAGTGTTGCACAAACTAAAATAGATCAATATCATATCTAATAAATGAAAAAACTAAGTTCAAGTTTTAATAGCATTTTATATGTTGAACATCAAGCGATATATATATATATATATACACACACATACATACATACATGACATTCATAGACAAGAGAGGAGAACAGGGAACTATTGGAATGCTACTATACAAGTAACCCCAGCGAGAGGGGTTACATACGGAGGATGTGGAACCTATGGATACTTTGAAACCCAACGTCTACACTAACAAACTCAAAGCAACTAGTAGCTCAGTGCTATAACATCCGCAAGAACGCCTATCAAAGCCAGAGATTGACGAGGTACAACCCGAATGCTCCAGCAAGGGGGAGCCAGGACAACAGGTCAGGGGGGAGATATCACCCCCACAATTGGAGATTGGGTACAAAGCCCCACTAATAGGCCTGGATGAGCTTGATTCAAGGGCTGCTGACCTGAGACTGAAGATCATGAGCAAGATGGACACCTGGAACTCCCGTGGTCGGTTACCAAGACTAAGTGAAGTGCCTTCTGAAAGTCTACTAGATGATGTGAATGCAGCACTAAGAACAATCCCTACTATGACCATCACTGCGACCAACAAGCTGATATACACCACAGCAACAGCATGCTTGGCTAAAAGTTCAACAAAGGCCATAAGGAGCAGTATCCTCCATGGAGAAGGAGGTTGGAGACCAATATCAAGGCAGAAAGTAAGGGCTCACAGCCCTGGCCACACGACTGAAGAGGTACACCAGAGAAGTTGAAGCCAGGAGAATAAACCGAATGTTCTCCACTGAACCATCCAAGGTGTACTCTCACCTACCGATTACGGAATGGAGCAACCATCAGCCACCTCCTCTACATGGATGACATCAATCTGTATGCCAGGAGCGAATGAGACACTGACTCACTGATCCACACCACTAGGATCTACAGCCAGGACATCGGAAT